AGATAGAGAGTGATTGCACGTGGTTAGCTACTGGGGTGTTCTACCTGTGACAAGGACGAATATTCTGGACGTATGACGGTGACGGACACAGTTCGTTCTAAAAGCTCACCATTTAGGACAAAGCGAAGTGGCTGGACGCAGTATATAACATGGTAGATACCGTTTACGTAATCATACAATACAGTAGCCGAATGGTGACCTTTTGATCTCGAAAATCCTTATACAAGTATACGCTGATCTCCAAGTAGTTTCTGAATCCCAGCTTGAACTCTGGAGTCTCTTTGATGTATTTGAGAACCTTTGTCGGCGACCTAAATAGGTGGGATTAGACGACGTTGAAGATGAATACATACAGTGAGATGTTTATGAAGCTTCGGGGCGCCAGAAGTCGACGTTAACTTCAGGTCAATCCCTTAACTCCGGGAAGACATACGCAAGGATCCAGATGGTACGTTATTCCCACGTAGTTCCGAGGAAAAAGGGATAATACAGCTAGAAAACGTTACGCATGAGAAACGGGGTAGATCTACAGAAATCGAGACAGCCAAGGGCGGATGGAAAAGTAGGCCTTCGGCTATATGGCCAAGGGTTGGCTTCTGATATCCTCTGTGTAGCTGAAGGCATGAGAAACCCTGGCAGAAAGCAGATTACGCGCGTTCCCGTCGAATTGAAGCAAGGGTGGTTCTGGTTACGCGCGGCAAATCCTAAGCCTATCCCGTAGGCATGTGTTTTATATCCTGAACTCGCACCTTGTAAATGGCCACCATTCGCCATTCTAACTCGACGCGTTTGTCGAGAGCAGAAGCTCGTTACGTGGTTCTCGCAAATTGTCTGGAATCCAGTGAAAATGCGTGGACGCGCCTAACTGCACGGTGATCACGTTGATGGTCTGTACAGTTGTAGTAGGAATTACGTACGTAAGTCCCATTGGCATTCACAAAGAACCCCGTTTCCTTACAAGACAACATTATACAGATTATTGCCATTGTTGACTTACCAATAAATTGGATCTATCGTTTTTTTACAAGCCAATGGGAACGATATGTTACATTTAATTTCATCCTTGTCAGAGTGAAGGTACAAATCATTCGTAAAGAACGAATAAAGGGTCGATCACGCGCCCTCTTAATAATTTCGTCGAAAATGAGGAAAAAGACGCGGCTTTTTATTTTTTTTTCGATACCCGCAGAAATAAAACTGCCCGGAGGAGCAGTTAACCCTGAATTATTGCAACCAATCAAACTTGTCCGGTGATTACTGCCCGTAGAAGAGATTAACTACTACTATTCTCTGTCTTCTCGCATTAAACTTGGAATTGACACTGGTTAGTGCGTTAGGTGTGAGTAGGGAGGGTCAATCTGTTTCTATACCCGTTGGACCGTGTGAATGGAAGCTGCAGCCGGGGCATTTGTGTACGAGTCAAGTATCGACCACGGTCAACGTGTCTGCTGGCTTTTGAAACCACTGTAAATAGCGCACCGCATATTCTCCAAGGACGCGAGTCTAGTATAGGTAAGGGTGTGCCTGGTTATGGTTTTAGTGGATGGATTCAAGCGTCAAGGGAATTAATGTAATATTCTTGAGTAACGGGATAGTTCTTAATTGTCAAAAGTCTAATTATAGTTAATGAACCTCTTCTGCAGCTTGGCTCGAAAACATTTTAATGACGAAGATACCTTGCCTTATAGACACGAATATATTACGAAGATCGCTAATGTTTTCAGTTCTTATTAATGACGTGAAGTAATATTACAAAGAGATGAGGAAAGTAGATCAAAGTATACTTATCCAAGTTCCAGATTTTATTATAGCTGAGAATATGTATTTGTGATTTACGTAATTAATTTTAAGTAAGGCAAACTGATAATTATGCAGCAATCATCGATAGATGCAGCAGTGCATTCACTTATGCAAACCATTTCGATGCGTGAAGTTCGCGAGTTCCGCGCATCGAGTTCGTTATGCTATTGTATGCATTTCCCTAGCGGTGACGTAATTGCCTAATATGCACCGAACTAAATGACGCGGTGATTCTCTATCGGCATTTTCACTTGTCATTAGCATTGCCACGGGCCGGTAAATGGGGAACCGAGAAGACGATGAACGTTATTTTAACGAATGAAATAAAGTTTCAGAAAAAATTGCCAGTTTCTCACATGCAGTATCTCTTGCGCACGCTAATGAACATTGATATATTGGATTCAGTTGAATTTGGTTACCAGTCCATGGAATGGCTGCTCAGTAAGGGGTACCAGACAGGGCGAAAGGCCTGCGGGCACCCAGAAAAGAAGGGTGACTCGTGGAGCGGTGGAGTGCAAATTTTATCATAGTTTCTGCCTGGGGATACGTTGTTCGTAATGACTTTTAAGCCGGAAAGTGGATGCTGATTATATGCATTTCTATATGTAGCTGTACTGTAGCGGTCCTAATTGAAAGTCCGTACTGGGAAGGCAAAACTTAGTAAAGAGGATCTATACCTTGAGGTTGTAATTAGCCAATTCATTATTTACGTCACTGCGTTCCATTTATTTTAATGGATTCACGTACCACCTACGTAACTTTGCTAGGCGACTCTTTTGCCCCAACTTTTCACCTTATTTCCCAGACGAGTCATTAATATATACTTACTAGACCGTCTCTCTGAGTTAACGTGGAATATTTAAATATAACAACTGACACGCATTACATGCGGTTGCTATCACGATATCGTGGATCTTAGCGAATGGCGATAAAAATGTTATTAAAATTGTAAGGTATGCTGGATCCTTTCTTGAAAATGTAATGTGGTCACTCGACCTTGAGTAAGAATTTATATTTAAAGGTAGTTGGGGCAACCGGAATGACCACCAGATCGAATGAATTATTTAATCTAATTGGTCCTGTAACGTACGTGGGTGTCATTTAATTACTGCGCATCAAATTGAAGCAGTATATTCTCTGTGTAAAAGATTATACCCAACAGGTTGTCATACCCTCTTAATTTAACATGGCACAATGGAAGTGCATGCAAATGCTCGCGCGTCTAGTATATCTCGGTTTTTTTTTTTAAATGAAAAAGTCAACGTATTCCTATTCGATGTAACAATGTTCACTGATCGGTCAACGGTAATATTTCAGATAGGTCGCAAAAGCTTTCTTTGCTTTGACGATCAGAGAGTATTTATCGAAATAGCTGGGATCGTTTGCGCGATGATTGGTCTAGATCCTATATAGATATACTTTATGGCTCTAGGTCGAGTACGATCGCAAGGAAGCGGATTCTCGAACGATTCGAGTGACCACAAGGATCCCGAAGGTGCGCTGGGAATTCTATCGTGTGGTCGCATTCCCAGTGCCCTACACGAAAGTCCTGAGCTCTGCGTACCTAAATCAATTAAATATCTTCCATTGCCAGAGTGCCTGGCGAACGGCGAATATTTCATTGACATAGTTTTCACATGCACTCGCATTTCTCGAGACTAAATATAAACGAAATCTGGGAAATGTCAAGGATGAAATTTTTATTAATTTTTTAAATTCTTTATAAATTGCACGAATGCATATTTGTAAGAAGGACTGGGATTTCGGGATTTCAAATGGATTACGTCTACGAGAAATGGATTGTTAGTGCTAAATTTATATGATATCTGTATAATTAATCTCAGCGATTCTTGTCGCATGTCGTAATTAAAACGTACGCCAGGGATAATTTATTTTAATTTTGGGCTTGTTACGGGGAGAAACAGCGTCTGCCGGGACGAATATTAACACTGATAATGCGATTTCATTTAAATTACTACCCGCGGCAGAAAATAATCATTAAACCGACCCCTAGTTGCTTTCATCCCTCTCTTCTCTCGTTCGTTTTCTCAATTTGATCTCGCGTTGCTTCTATCAGGATTCACTCTTTTTCGACATGACGTCTTTGCTGCAATTTTTCTTAATATTCTAATAAACTTTGCAACCATTGCGAGCTGTATAAAACGGACGTAATAAATTTGATATAGACGCATTCTCTTATAAAAAAAAAAATATATTTTTATAAAGACAGACGGGATATAATGAATAATCTTCGGATAAGTCAAATGGCTTTTAGAGGGGCCACCCTCCTATGGGATTTAATGTAAAGTAGTCCTTTGGACTATCGTAATTGACTCGTACATCGACTATACGTAAACCATAAAATACGGTCCTTGTAGAAAAAGTCATGTGGGAGTAATCCAGTGGGAAAATTTCTTCGCTTTAACTAGGTCTTTATTGCTTCAAGAAAAGAAATGGTAGCTATAGAATTTTTCGCCGATGTCGACGCCAAGCACAGATACATGCAAAGACGTTGAGGTGAAGAAAAAGCGTGAAAATTGTAACGCCAGTAATAAATCCGGCAAGTGTATTCCTGAAGCTGTTCGCGTTAGTGTTACGCAGCATCCAACCTGCCAGTGTAATGATCTCATCACGAGTTGTGAAACTCCCCGTGCTATTGCTCACTCACGTACTATACCGAGGAAAATCACAAATGAGGGAAGCACCACCACCGTATTCATCACAACGGGATCAAATTGTTTGTTACGTAAAATGCTCTCGAGTCACCCTAGGCGCAACGATTCTCTGCCGTTTTTACTTTCTTCGTGGCGGGACTGATAAAAGCTCGTCCTTCACCTACTAAAACGCGTTTTCATTTGACGAGAAACTTTCTATGGAAGATTGCACTATCTCAGGTGACCTGGAATTGATAAGCTGACGTTATTCCCCACGGGACATCTTTCAAGGAATTACGACACTTTGGAAACGGCGAAACTTTTCTCTCCGCTATTGTCTTTCGTGAGAACGAATTATGTCCTGGTTTCTACCGTCGAGTGAACGATCAACGTCAAATCAATGGCCATAGTGATAAAGTCTTCGTTAAATGACTGGTTGAAGAAATAATTTTGAAACTTATCATTATTATGCTATAGTCATAAAGTCATAATGCTATAGTCATGGGGCTAGAGGAATTTTGTGAAAAGTTTTAAAATCAGGTACTATTTATTTGACAATTATTTAATTAATACACTTACGAATTTCGTCAATTATCTCCATATACTTCTTATGACCACTTTCCATGGCTTTCTTATCGCAGTCGTGTATTAATTTTGTACATTTGACCCGCGCTTCCGTTTCCTTTTTTGCCAATGTCTGAAATTTCTCATAAAGCGTTAACATTCGTTTACGGACGTCCTTGATGCCTAACTCGAAGCATTTTAATTGATCGTCGCTCGATATACAATTTTGGATTATTCTTTGAGTGTCGAATTTCATTTGCTTTGCCTCCTCGTGAATCATCAAACGTTCCGTTCGAAATTTTTCCAGCGCTCCGTATTGTTTTCTGTAGCAATCAGCCAGAGTATTCTTCATTTTTAATTCCACGCCCTGTAATTCCGCTTCTTTCTTGGCTATGCACAATCTTGCCTTTTCGCTGAATTCCGATAATTCAGCCAATTTTTGATTTATTGTTTTTATAGTATTCGATGCCTGTAAAGATGACACGCAGCAGTGTCAATTAATTGTATGACTTTAATCGATACGATTATTATTGAGAAATGACATTCGATAAGATTACCGTGGTGGCCGCCTTTTCTTCATAATTTTGTAATTCAGTAAACTCATGCTGTATGGTTTGCGACACAATTTCGGTTGCTTTCCGTAATACTTCCTCCGCTTCCTCCAGTACGGCCTCTAACGTTAAAATTTGATTGTTCGCGTTGGAGCTATTTGCACCCATGCATTCCTTCGTATTCTTAAAGAATGAACATTCCTGGCTCTTTCACGGGCTTTGAAATATCTTGGGTTAGAAACAAAGGAAAGTCGTCGCGGATTCGAGTATCGAAGCGCTTTTCGTATTTCAGAGTTCAGACTTCAGCAGCCAAGACGGATGATCTTAGTAAGTGGAATGTAAAGCACGTTGTACATGGCTCGAGTTACTCTTCATTAAACGGAGTAAGACTTTATAAAGAGATAGGACTTAAAGTTTTGATATACTGCTCTGCTTTTTATATTATCGTGTGGCTTTTCTTGAAAAAGTACCGATACCGTTGGGCAATGGGTATTTCGTACTTGGTATCTTTGACATTCTACAAGATACCATGTAATTTTTTTAACGAGTAAAAAACTTGGAGTTCTTTATTCTTAATATTATTTTATTAATCTTTAATCAAGTGGAGAAGCGCGCTTTAATCGTGCTGACACATTTTTCAGTTTTTTCAACAATTTCTTGTAAATTCTTTTGAAGCTTACGATGTGCCTCTTGATGACAATCGGTCATGTCTTTTATATTCTTTAGCACGAGGCTATCGGTATTTTTTGGAATTTCATTCAATTTTTCAAATATTTCATTATAACGTGTTACCATCTCGTTCATCTTGTCCGTCAGACACTTTGTAGTCGCACCTTTAGTTTGCAAACATTGTTTCAGTAAATGTTTTACGTTCGCCTTAAACTCCTGGGCTTCTTTTATTGGTACCTCGCAGTTACTTTTAATACCCTCCAAGGCGATTATTGCGTTTTTATTGCAGTCTTTAATTTCATGGGAAAAATCATTTCGAGCGTTATATACGTCTCCTTTATACTTATCTATACAATCTTTTAACTGCGTACTCTGACTGGTAACCTTTTTCATAATGTCACTCACGACCTTTTCGTTTCGATCTAATTTCTCAGATAAAATTTTGTTGCTCTTTTTAATTGCATCGTTTACGTTTTCTGTGGCCTTTGAAAACATTTTGTTCACGTGATGCATTTTTGATTCCGTCTTTAATTTTACTTTGCGAAGGATTTCCTGAACTGATTTAATTTCATCGTTCACTCCTTTACTCGTATCATCGTGTACAAAGGATTTTCTGGTCTGATGGATAACAACGTTAATTTACGTTATGACATTTGATATTAATTCAGTATTTGATACTTCTCAATTTTCTATTCTCTTTAAATCCAACGATAATGAACGTATACGTACTCTGCTATTGGGTGGACCTTTTATCAGATAATGGTGCTCCAGTCGTTTTGCATGCTTCAAAAATGTCAGCATTCTGTGTCGACACAAAAATTATTAATATCACGCATATAAATACAATGAAGCAACGCTGCAAGTTTTAAGAAAGTTATTACGAGGCGAGTAAATTCTGTTATGTATGACGCTAATTAATTCTCATTAAATTTATTTGAATCGATGTGAAATATTTGAAAAATGGTTTTATACAAATTTGAAGAGTACCCGCTAACCTAATAATGCAATTTAGCAGTCAAGTAAATTGAATCCTTTGATACAACACAGTTGAGGTTGACAAATCTGAACTTATGTGACTTTCGTCAACTTGAAGTAAGCTACAAAAAATATCCAAGCAGCAGCCACGGTACGAAAATATCAGTGAATGCGTTTCATTTGTCGCAACGGCCGATAGAAAGCTAGTCGTTACGTATAATTGAAGTTTTCGCGAAAAAAGAAAGTTGTGCGATGTAGACAAATTTTACGGTATGGGTGCATGCTTGGGCAAGAATGAACTGGGCAATAAGATTCCAAGAGACATAGCTGTAGACTGTGCTCCTCTGAAAGATATTCAAGCACCAATAATCTTCATCATCGGTGGTCCAGGCCGCGAAAATATGAGTCTGGCTACAAAACTCCCCAAAAAAAAAAAAACAACTACGCGTTAATCGCCCCTTTGAATTTGTTACGCGCGGAAGTATTAGCGGGGACGGAAAGAGGCGAGATCGAGAATATTATGAAGGAGGGTCGTAATATACCAGCTGACATAGTGGTCCAGTTGATAAGAAGGAAAATGATATCCCAGGCTAAGTCAATAGGATTCGTTGTCGTTCGCTTCCCACGTGATAGGAAACAAACGACGATTTTTGGAAAGAACGTACAGTCAACGTCGTTAGTGAACTACCTGACGGCACGTGAAAGTATCCTGGAGGATCGAACGAAGTCAAGGGCGGCTGCTAACGAGCGATTTGACGAGACGGCTGAAATAATTTAAAGCCGTTTGAAAACGTATTTCAACACAGTCGGTGGTGCTGGAACGACGTATAAAAATGTTACGGTGATAGTCGACGCCGAGAAGAGCCAGGACGAGATCTTGGAAGCTGCTTGCGAGACTGTGACCAATATGGAGAAAAAGGAATGATCTATAAATGTGATATCAATGGATCGAGAGTCCTTCTAAAGTCGGTGGAATATATTGTACGCTTCGCAAGACTTCACTCACTACGTAGCATAGTCAGTTACCTGTATATCGGTAATTTTGATAAAATTTATTCCTACACGATACCATCGCAGTAATGCGTTGCTATCTACGTAAAGAGTTATCTGTCAGTCAGTCTAAACAATGGAAATGTAAAAAGAGAAAAAGAAGTTATAACGATTACCTGTAAATGTGGTAGGCCCAGTTAAGAGCGTTTCATCGAATTATTTCCATGGCGCATTTGCGCACGGTCAATGTTCCAGTGGAGGCAATGGTGGTCGGACCCGGAATTACCGGAATTGTGTTCGACAGCCGGAAGCTAAATTTGGTCCATTGAAATTTATAGAATTCTTTCGCGTTCCCAGGCAGAAACGTAGTTACGAAGAATGCTCTCCCAGCGCAAAAGGACCTTGCCTACTAGAATGTGGAATAATTGAGGGATTGGTACCAAGCCGAGTCACGTAGTAGCTTTACGTACAGGACGGAATACTGTTACATAGCGAAGGAGTCACGGGTGTGGCGTTACATTTGAATTTCTTATGGAAGGCTCTCGCAATGGGGCTATCAAGAAATGAGAAGGAATAAAAAGTGCGAAAATACAGGGTGCTTCATTGAAAAATGAGTTCAGGCGCTCGTACGTACGATCTTTGTTTTTTCTTTCTTTCTATTCATTCGTTCTCTCTCCCTCTTTCTTACTATTGCTATACCTGTATCATTTTCATACATGCTCTCCCTAAAAGGTGTATTTTACACGCGCGTCGTCATCAGACATAGTGCGAAGCATATTAAATTTTCCTCAGATCTCAGCATAGTCCTTCTCATTTGCCAAGAGTAATCTGCCAGAGTTGGTTTTGCGAGTATATTCCAGCAGTAACAATAATTTAACTCCCGAGGGTAGACGGGTAGTATCCCCTAATATTCCGTGGTTGATCAGATAACTTGTAAAACTTACGCAATCAACCGTGAAATTGCGTGCGGTCTTTCAATCTAACTGAGACAGCTCTTCGAAGGAAATCTCGCCCATCTTGATGGTCAGATGAGATGCGACGCTTAACGTTTAGAGCAGAATGACCATAATCGATGGAGCTAATGAATTAGCATTAATAAAATTACCATTGGATATATGACCCAATTTCAGGTACATGCTATAAACCTACTTCGTTGATTCCGTTGAGTGGATTAACGTGAAAGTCACTTAGCATTAAAAATGAATGAATTGAAACTCGCACGAATTTAATGCACGCGTTACCTATGCTGGTGCACGTATCCCCCCCCCCCCC